TACAAATACCTAATAGAAAGAACAATGAGAAGAGAGCTGAGGGACGAAGGGTGTCTGTGGAGGCTTAAGACAGGTATTCATACACTCCAGAGTTCTGGACGAACGTCCTGGGAAGCCCAAGATCAAGGTGCTAGAAGACTTGGTGTCTGAGGTGGACACACTATCTAATCACAGATACTGGCTCGCTGTATCATTCTGTGATGGGAGGGATATGGCTTTACAAGGGGACTAGACAAACTTAGAAGAGCTCCACCCTTGTGATCTGATGACCTGCCATGGACCTCACCCTCTAAGCCAGCACAGTGAAACTAAGGGTTTCAGTACTGTATAGAATTCTCCAAGGGACGTGAAGTCTAAGCCCCAAATACTGAAAAGGGTAGATAAAACAAGGTAATGAGGTAAATATACTCACAGTACGCACAGATGTACATGCAATCGTCAATGGATAAATATTTTAAGGCCTGGCTGGCTTTGTGTTAACTTGACACAAGCTAGAGTCATCAGAGGAAGGAGCATTAGTTGTGGAAATGCCTCTATGAGATCCAGCTGTAAGGCATTTTCTCAACTAGGGGTCAATTAGGGAAAGCCCAGCCCCTGGTGGGTGGTGCCATCCCTGGGTTACTGGTCCTGGGTTCTGTAAGAAGGTGGGCTGAGCAAGCCATGGGAAGAAAGCCAGTAAGCAGCTCCTCTCCATGGCCTCTGAATCAGCTCCTGCCTCCGCTACCCTGTCCTGCCTTCCTTCAGTGATGAACAGCAATGCCGAAGTGTAAGTTTAATAAACCCTTTCCTCCCCAACCTACTTTTTTGGTCATAGTGTTTCATCGCAGCAAGGTAAGAGATCTTTTATTTCACTTAGGTGATTTGGTGCAATGAGAAGGAACTACAATGCTGGCACTAATTACATGCTGATAACCTCATAAAAGGGCTGGAGGTGGCTTTCCTCTTTGTGGAGCTCAAGATAGAATGCTCGCCTGGCATGTATAGGGTTTGATCCCTAGGACTACACAGATAAAAGAATGTTCCTTTTGTAATCGTAAACCTTGTTTGAATAATGCATATGGAATGCTAGTTATTTTGCATTCTAAAAACAAAACTTGATTTTTCTTTAAAAGGAAACAAATAAATATAAAAAACAAAAACAAAACAAACAAACAAACAAAAAAAAAACTCTGGTAATGCTGTTAATAATACCCATTATGCATAGAGAAGTCTCAGGGTCAGAAGCTGCCTTCTCCAAACACACACTAGAATACTATGCAATCATTAACACCATTCTCTTTTAAGATATTCACAGTAGCCTGCTGGTGGTGGCACATGCCTTTAATTCCAGCCCTTGGAAGGCAGAAGCAGGTGGATCTCTATGAGTTTGAGGCCAACAAGGTCTATAAATAGAGTTATAGGACAGCCAGGGCTACACGCAGAAACCCTGTGTCGAAAAAAAAAAAGTTCATCCTATCCTAATTTACTATGTGAAATTCTACACATTTTACTTGAATTGAGATTTATTTCATTCTCCAGAGAAGAAGTCACCCCATACTTTGACATAATCGTAACAGCTGGTTATGGAAATTACATTTTATAATTCATATAGCCATCATTTCTACATATTTATTACAGGTGTAATGCATTCAGAATATACATGTGTGTAGGGGTGAGTGGATGGGTATTTTGAGACAGGGTCTCATTTAACCCAGGATGGTCTCAAACTTGCTATATAGTTGTAGATGACTTTGAATAATCTTCCTGCCTCCATCTCCTCCTGAGTGCTAGGATTACAGGCATAGATGGTGCTGGGCCTATATTTTTAAGAAATGAATGACAAGAACCACTGCAGATAGAAACAGCTTTATTTTTTTTCACTCTGGGCTTTAGAAGAGCAAAATTATCGAATGCAATCATACTTATTTTGTCCTATATCACTGGTTTCCTTAGGAAAGGAACACACATTTGAATAACTTGTAATTCAAACATATCAAGTTCCCACTTTATTTCCTTCTTTTTTTTTTTTTTAAAGTCAGCCACAATAGAATCATTTTGGGTAAGTGTTCATATTCTCTCTCACCTTTATTCATACTGAGATAATACAATATTTATAAACCAAACTATTTGCTGTTCAGAAAACTGGAAAGGTTCTTTTACATAATAATTTTGATATGCTAAGAAACCACACAAAACCGGCATTTGCAAATAGATAAAAATAGGATAGACTGTTTGAAAGAAAACATAAACAATAATTTCTTCTAGCTAAATAATTTCAATTGAGTGAATATATTCATCTGATAATATAGGCTCTATCTTAGAATATAAAAAGTGCTCAGATTATCTGTAATAAAAATAACTAAAGTCTCAGAGAACTGAAAATAATTTAAATGAAGAAGGTACACTGAGGATCACAAATGACATCTGTGCTGTCAGGCATGGGGGGGGGGGGGGGGGGGATGTGAGTTTACCTGAACTCAGAAGGGGATAGAGCAAGGCGATGGGACATGCATAGCTTCCTGCCTGGAGAAGGTGGAAGTCTCTGAAAAGCTCCATGTGTCTTTATTTAGATGAAAGCCATTGACACAGAATCAGGTATCTCACACAGACTTGCAAAATGCAAAGTTGGAATATTTGCCTTGACTGCTAGCTGTGGTGCACACTCAACCCAAGAGCTCAAAACATAAGCACACACCTTTTAAAAACTCATGTATGGAGGCCTGAGGGCAACACTGGGTGTCATCCTAAGGAATGCAGCCCATGTCCTTTTAGATGGGGTCTCTCAGTGGATAGGCTGCTGGCCAGTGGCTCCCAGGGATGCTCCTCTGACTCCCCAGTGCTGGGATTTCAAGCACATACACACTACCAGACCCAACATTTTTACATAGGTGCTAGAGAATTGAACACAGGTCCTCAAGCTTTGCCAGGCAAACACTGAACTGACTGAGCTATCTCCTCAGCCCCATCCAAGGATACATCTTTGACTATTAAAAAAGTATATGGTGGGGGAGGGTGAGGAGAATGGGGGAGGGGGAGGGAGGGAGGAAGGGGGAGAGAGGGAGAGGGGGAGAGAGAGGGAGAGAGAGAGAGAGAGAGAGAGAGAGAACACATAGCAACTGAGCTGAAGAATTTTCATACCCAAGTTTCTATGAAGCTTTACTGGAACCACCCTAAGGTAGGCTCATCAGTGTAGAAATGGACAATGAGACATTTCTCACTAAACTCTAAAGAGGAACTCAGAGCTGGGGTAAGATACTGGGCTGAATTTTTTTCTTTTTTAACTGCCTTTCAGTACTATGGATATGCCACCCACAAAGAAAGATGGGACACCCGTGTGCCTGGCTACTCACTGCCAAGGGCATGTATACTGACCCCACTCTACTTAACACTGAGATTACCTATCACATTTTCCACAATCTTCAATCTCATATATACTCCAAGTTGCCACAGAGGGCAACTGAACAGCAAGGAGTGTGTGATTTTATTTGGAGCAGACTAGTGCTATATGAGTTCATATACTGCTCCTTCTCTAGCTTGGGAGGATTTCAGATTTTAGTTGCTTATTATGGGAATACTTTTTTATAAATAAGATAAAAGATATAAAGTAACACTATCCTCATTGTATGACAGTTCTGAGCTGGCACTCTTATAGTGCACAGACTACTACTTTATAGGTCACAACCCAGAAGAATGTAGGATCTTGGCAATTAGAAAATGGCTTTCTGACTCCGTCCCTGGTAGCGAAGAACATGTCATACAGAAGCAGTTCACCGTCCCCCAAACACGCGTTATAAAGAGTTTAAATGGATGTTGTAATTTTTTTAAATCTTTTAATGCCCTTTTATTCTAACTAGCTGAACATTACTATTTAATGTTTTGTTGAAGTTCAGTGTATTTGGGGTGAAAGTTTAAAATGAGTATTGGAATTCAAACTGCAAAGTGTTATAATATGGCTTCAAGAATATCAATCAATAGAAGAAAAAGGGAGCTGAAAAGACTAGGTAGCCAAACAGGTAGCAGCAGAAGGGACCAGCTAAGAGTAAGTACAAACAAAGCTAATATGTTCATGCAGCTTCCAACATACTTGAGGGGAGCCTCACCTCACCATGTCCAATGTGCCTCTTTAACCAGCTGGACAGCAGGCATTTGTTGACCAGTAGCACAAGAGGGAAGGAGTGGCTAACCTCCAGGTTGAAGTATCAATGGCAGCGTCTACTCTCCGACACTCAGAGCCAGAAAAGGAGTGCAAAGACTATAGGCCCCACCAGCTCCACCATGACTTATACACAGCTACAGGACTAGTTAAGTACTAACCACTTCTATCACTAACCACAGAAAAGTGTCCTGAGTTCCAGAGAATGGAAACTAGATACCTATTTTCTTTGGATAAGACTCAGATCAAGCAGAAGTTACTATGTTTCATGAAAATGTTGATTCTCAGATTTGTAGAAATAGCACAAACACTTCTATGGTCACAGCATATTTTATCATCCTCTGGGGGCACAAAGGAACACTAGCAACAGGGAAAAAACAATTATGTCAGGACAAGAGACATAATAAGGACCATTCCTGGACATATATCCAATGTGAACACCTGATCTTTGCATTTCCTTTTCAGGCAGTTTACTAATGACACACTGTAACACTGGCAACTTTAATATCAGACAGAGTTCTGGTTTGTGGGGAAGACATACTTCCTGGTGCTAGAACATTTTCTTCTTCACCTCTGACCCCACCTAAATCTCCCAGCATGAGCTAACATCTTGAATGGGTCTAAGTCAATGGTTTGCAAACTTCCTAATTCTGCTACCCTTTAATATGGTTTTTCATGTTGTGGTGACTGACCCTCGACCATAAAATTATTTCATTGCTACTTCATAACTGTAATTTTGCTACTGTTATGAATCATAATGTAAATAGCTGACATACAATCTCTGTAGGGGTCTCAGCCCACAGGCTGAGAACCACTGGTCTAAGCACACCATCTCAGTGTTAGAATTTCTCCAAGACAAAAATAGCAATGTGAGGAAATTACTTATATTCACTTCTTTACTTTCCTGCTCAAAATACTTACTGGAGACACTTAGCACACCTTGCTCCAGGAGCAAACTCCAAAAGGACAAGTCCCAATTAAGGGGCTAGATCATAGTGTATTTTGAAATCTTTATATTAACCACAAGATTCTCATAAACACAATTCCACAAAATATTTTTTAAAAGCTCTAAGAATGTACTTAATGCGTGGCTGCAGGAGCCAATACGGCAGGACTGTAACAGGAGAGCCCAGGCTGGTGCTGGGCTGTGGTGCAGGTCTTCAGTTTTTGAACAGCAGCATCCTCTCGGAGCACTTCTGTCCCACAAGGTTTGCATACTCCAGCACAGCGACCTCCTCCCTTGGGTCTTCTTGGTGGTTCTTCTTATAAACACCATAAGGCAGGGCAGATCGCCTGTAAAGTATCCGTACTCGGTCAGGGTCCTTACTACGCCCTTCATCCACTGCAAAGAAACAAATACGGATCAAAGACATGCACAACCAAAGTGTGTAATCTGAAACATGATGGCCTAGCAGGTCCTCTTTGTGCTGTAAACAGGAAGTTCCTTGGTGGAAGGCAGTAAACCACTGGCCACACTATACCTTTCTGATTTTTTAAAAGTGCAATGGCATCTACAATGTTCCAGAATCTTTTTAGAGTATGTATTAAATCTCTCCAGCTAACATGCTGCTTGAGGCTTTGGCTCTGCATGGAAACCTATGGCCAACAGAACAGCATAAGGAGGCCTGGCTTTGCACACTCCTGTTCTTAATGGGGTCAGAGAGGCAGGTTCTCACAGTTTCCATAGAAGATACAGCACAGGGTGCTGTGGCTACTGCTTTTGGGCTTTGTTGGCTTCCATATACAAGAGCTCATGGCTTGTGTCAAGGCATGTGATCACCCAGAAGAACATGTGTGTCCCTGCCTTCCCTGAAGCTGGGTGTGGCCTCATGACTCAGTTCTGGTTAACACAAGTAGTGCTTCATGGGACTGCAAGGGCTTTTTAGAGAGAACACATTCATCTATACCTTTCTTCAGGCTATATATATCCTGTGCATGGACCAACATGAGGGCAAGAGTCTAACTTCTGCCTTGGAGCTTTCCTTTGGTTTAGTGAAAACAAAAGATTTGAGGTAGACAGCCTCGGATTCCATGCAACAAACTGCCATGCTAGTCCTGGGCTATCTATGTCTAGATATTTACAAAAAATAATGTTTGGAGATGTGGGGCATTGGTGGTGCATGCTTTTAATCCCAGTATCAGGAGGCAGAGGCAGGTGGATCTCTGCAAGTTCAAGGCCAGCCTAGTCTACAGTGCGAGTCCCAGGATAGATTCCAAAATAAAACTGAGAAACTCTGTCTTGACCCCCCCCCCAATTAAAAAAAAAAAAAGTTTGAACTGATATTACTCTAGATCCTATTACTGGAACCACTGCTAGTTGTAATCTAGAAAGGAGTGTTACTCTATACCCAGTAACATGTACATACATTTAAACCACTGAACCATGCTTCACCCTGGAATCACCAGAGGAGACTTTTAGAAGTCCTCAAACATCCTGGAACCCTTTTGCTGAAATCCCAAGTGAAAACTCATCTGGAATGAACCTTGAGCACCAGGATTTTAATTTTTAAGCATTTAAGCCATAAGAGCAACAACCACAGAGATGTGTTTATGCATGCATGCTCATAGCAGTGTCTGGACATAACACACCCCAACTGTCTGCCCGTGAGGAACTTGTCAAAGACACAATGCTGCAGCAGGCATGGCGGAGGAAGGAGGCAAAGAGTCAGCTGAGAGCCACTGACTCAAAACACTTGGCACCAGCTGATTGTGGTGGGTATACCTCTGATCCTGGTGCTTGGGAGTTAGAGGCAGGAAGAGCATAAGCTCAAGGCCACCCTGGCTACATAAGAGTTCTAAAAAAAAAAAAACAACCCAGCCAAAGAAAACTTACACAAGGGCTTCAGAAAATAAATTCTGGAATATCTGCATACTTGTAAAGAGACCTGAGAAAAGAACCCAAGCCAAAGCATGAAACTCCCTATGCTTTCTAGGAACCAAAAACAGACCCAGAGCATCTTAGACAATGTACACATGACAGTAATCTACCACATAAGGCCAGGGATGGATTCCGTAACTAAGAAACAAACATCTAAAGTTTCTTCTTTCTCAGAAGTTGTTGATCTTAAAGCAGCATCAAACTCAGGAGAATTCACTGTAGATCAATTTCAGGAGAGAAAAGAACAGTATTCCTCGGATGCCAGAAACAGAGAGAGCGCCAATGTATTATGGTATCCAATTTATCCTCCCAAATGCACATGGAAGAGAGGGAGCCCATCCAATCTCAGCCTCCAGGCCTGCCTATTAAGTCTAGAGTACAGCATTCATTCTGTCTCTTGAGCTGCATGGTCTGTGGTTTATGGTCATCCTCAATGAATGCAGAAATACTATTTTTTTTTTTTTTTTTACAACAGATTTATATATGTTTTGCCTGAATGTATGTATGTGTACCACCTGCGTGCCTGGTGCCTGCAGAAGCCAGAAGAGGGTGTCAAATCCCCAGGACCTGGAGTTATGGATGGCTGTGAGTCATCATATGAGTGCTGAGAATCAAACTGGAGACCTCTGCAAGAGCAACAAGTACTTTTAACCGCTGACTCATCTCCCCAGACTTATTCTTAGTACAGCCTATATAGTTAACACTAAAACCTATTTAAATCTAAACAACAATAACAAAGTCCTATTTAAGATACTACAAACACTAAACATAACTTATTTAACAAAAGGAGAATGCATTTTAAATTCTTTAAAAAACAAAACAAAAACAAAAAACCCAAAAAACAAAAACAAACAACCTTTTATAATTACCATGCATAAAGGCCTTTCCAAAATGCATCCTAAGGAACCAAGGAACAAGCCATTTAATATGAAAAGATGGTTGCCACTGCATCTAAGGAAAGCTGTCAGATGTCACAGACATATGTCCCAGCAAGAACTTCATGGCCAGGTACTACTTGCAAAGAGGAATTCTGCCCTGTCACAGAAGACCTTATTCTTCTGATTAGAAACAGCTTGGAAGAGTCATTTATCACAAGAGCAGGTATTAATAGATTTTGGCAGTTCACCAGATCAGGCTGAGGCATAATACGAATATTTATCAATATATTAATTTACTTAAAGAAAAATTAGTTTCTTAATAGTTCCACAATACGCTCTGACTATTAAAAAAGGCACTGTAACAAGTGGTGCCCATGCCCACATCTATCGGAAGTCTGCCTACTTCTCTTCACACCTTTTGACTTCACTAGGTTACTGCTCACCATACCTAAGACACTGGCTTCTCACGCTTCTCCCAACCCGTAAGTCCCAGCTAAGATAACACAATTCAGCAGTTACATCAATTTAAACTTAACTGGTCATTCTCTTGGAAGTAATTTTATTTACTTAACCAAGAAGGCATATTATTAAGCTACTAACAACTAAACCAATGAAAGTTTTGGCTTCCTATTTTTAAAGTACCCTATCTTTTCCTTTAAAAATCTTAAATTGGGCTCAGCTGTTAAAAGTACTTGCTGCTCTTGCAGAAGGCCAGGGCTTGGTCCCCAGAACCTGCACAGGAGTTCAAACCATCTGCAGGACCAGTTCTCTTCACAAGCATCTACACACAGTGTGCATGCATACACATACACATACACATAAACAAATCATTTAAAATCTTAATTACAATTCACACTTAGAATATAAACAGGATTCTGCCCAACCAAAGAAGCTAAGGATAATATAAAACCCCCAGCACTTAAAAAAGATGAACAGAGATCAATTAAGATACATAATAAGAGACACAAAGAAAAGATGGAACTATACATTCATTTTAAAAACTCATTATTTAAAAACCAGAATTTATCAAGATAGTTAGCAATTCGTTTTGATAAATTAATGAATACCCATGTTTGTCACACTGTTTTTAAAGCAGCAAAAGTAATCTCTGTTGTAAAACTCAGATAGAAATAAATGGAAATACCAGTCCACATATATAATCCTTGTGCCTATATTTTCTCCCTTTCCTTCTCAAACTCCAATACCAGTTTCCAGTGTCTGATTCAGCAAGTGCACTTACAAAGTCAAAGATGGAGCTTTGGATCATATTCCTATAGTGCTTTAAGGCAGAAAATGCAATCAAATCACCCCAGAAGTGAGCATAGTGCATGGACATGAAAAGCCTGTCCATCATGGCAGATGCAGACACAATGGACTGCATGTCCTATGGCTTACGATCATCTAGTCATATCCTCAAGCAAGGGACATTTACTCTTAGCACATCCCACACAGTTTAGATAAAAATAATTTAAACATAAACAAAAATTCCTATAAGATACTTAAAACATAAAAATTATGATTTAGTTAGCAGGGAGGAAAATGTAGCTCAAATTCTTAGAAAACCCCTTTATAATCATCTTATAAATATAAACATGACATCAGTGCTCACAGACAAATCTAGAATGCTAAACCAACAGGCAGTCTTTCCTTGAAAAGACCCAGGAACAAGCATTTTGAGGTGAAGATGGTTGTCATGGCAGCGAAGGAAAGCTGCCAGCTACTAAGATAACAAGTACTTCTACTTCTCCTTTCCCAAAGCTGTATCACAGCTTAATTTCATAAAATAAAAGCACAAAGAGTCTTGCAAGTCCTTGGAGATGAGCATCTGATCACAAATGACTCAAATGTGCTGCTAGTTCCATGATATTTTAATCAAGGAAAACTCTGCAGGGGGTTGCCTGCTCAATGACTCCCCACAACTGTTCACTCACAGGAGCTGAACTAACAGGTGTTTTCAAAGCAAGAGAAGCTAGAGATCAAAGCTGTACTTCTCAGGGAGTTTTAACTTATTTGTTGTTCTTAGAAACTTAAGAATTTTCTAGGCAGGGTTTCTCTGTGTAGCCCTGGCTGTCCTGGAATTCTCTCTGTAGACTAGACTGGCCTTGAACTCACAGAGATCCACCTGCCTCTGCCTCCTGAGAGTTGGGATTAAAGGCGTGTAATGTCACTAACACCTGGCTTGCTTTCTTTTCCTTCCTTCCTTCCTTCCTTCCTTCCTTCCTTCCTTCCTTCCTTCTCCTAGGCTTTTCTAAAAATGATTCAAGAGTCTATTTGCATATATTTGTAATTTACTGTTACAGCAATATTACATAAAAATGAAAACCTAACCTACGATCCAGAACCAGAGAAACTAGAAACAGATGGAAGCAGATGCAGAAATCCACAACTAACCAATGGGCCAAGCTCCTGGGGTACAATCAAAGTGAGGGAGGAGTGATAATATGAACAAAGGAGTCAAGACCATGAAAGGGAAACCCACAGAATCAGCTGACCCAAACTATTGAGGTATCACTGATGCTGGTCCAACAACTGCGTAAGACTGAACTAGACACCCTGAAAACAGGTAACAATGGTGTAACGGGGACA